CCACTCAAGCCAACCTCCTTCACCAACAGGCCAACATTGAACTATGGCGGGTAGGGGGGTGAAGTCTGCAAGGGTTTGAATAATTCGTCCACCTACGGTAGTAGTAAGGTCAGGAGCCCCTAGTAGCGCAGGAGGGCCCCTAGTCGTTTCTTGTTCATTCCCCCTCCCTCTCTCTTTGCCAAAATCCAAGTGAAGACGTTGGTTTTTAGATTCTATACTTTAGGCGAAGCTTGCTGAAAACTGAAAACGAGTTGAGTGTTGAGATTTCTAATGAAGCTGGGAACAAGCCACGATCTTGCGCTGGGCCCTTGCACAAGGACATTTCACTCACAAGGGTCCAGTTGGGATCTAAGGTTTGCTACATCCCCTCTCTTTCACAATTCTTTTGCAAGGTTTGATTTTGTTACACAGTGCTATTGTTTCACGGAGCTGATTCGCAATGGCTTTTTCAAGTGCAAGTTTGCTCAATAGTGGATGGTATGAGGACAAGGTCTTCAAGCCCCGGAACTGCCTTTGACATTTTGTTGCATCGGACATCAAAACCCACAAAGGTCCCGCTGACGAAAATCCTGCACCTGTCTGCGTGACATAGCTACATTGAGTATATAGCCCTGATTATTCGATTCATTTTATATAGTATCATTGCTACTAGTAGCAGAAGCAGCAGCAGCAGTTGTAGGAGCAGTATTAGTATTAGCAAAAATATTGCTTCATTAGCTTTGTTGCTATAATTAGTAGTAGTTAGTAGTAGTTGTAGTCGTAGTAGTAGTCGTCGTCGTCGTAGTAGTAGCAGCAGCAGTAGCAGCAGCAACAGCAGGAGTAGTAGTAGTAGTTGTTGTAGTTGTTGTAGTTGTAAGGCCCTTCTGCGTCTTTGCTACTATATTGTGATAGTAGTAGTAATGCCCTTGTTACTAGTAGCAATGCCCTTGATGCGCTTGTTCCTAGTAGCATCTTTGCGACTGATGCCCGTGTTACTAGTAGCGATGCACTTGTCTCTCTCTCTCTCTCTCTCGCTCTGGCGGGCATGACTCGTCTCGGAGTCGTCTCACAGAGATGCCCAACTGCAACTTCCATCATGTTTATTTAGTATGAATTGCGTGTGCTTTCGCATGCGGAAAGTTTGTCCGGCAAGAGCGCGGGTTCATCGCGTGTTTTTACATACTCACCCACCCTCCTTTATCGTCCACATCTTATCTCAAGGCGGCGGTTGGGGGGATGGGCACGATGCTTGCACTCGTGTTGTCTTGCGCACACATGTGTACCTCAAGAGGGGTTTTAGGAGGGGTGGGCAGGATGCTTGCATCAACGTCGTCTGGAAAACGTCTTGCGCACACGTGTCTAAAGAAACTGTCTGGTTTTTACAATCCCTTGAACAAGATTCGCTTACTTAGGAAGATGTGTTCAAGAATTTGGCGGGGTTAGGAGGTTCATCTGGCTGCTCGTGCCACCCCAGGAAAGTTTGCTGTTCACCCCGTTGGATCTGTGGGCGGATGCAAAGCGGGTACCGAAGCGAAGCACTGAAACAAAGAAGGACAAGGATTCATGTCACTTGTTTCTACTAGCTTCTTGTTACTACTAGTAAGGCACCTGTTACTACTAGCGTGGCACTTGTTCCTAAGTAGCGAATGCCCTTTGCTCCGTTCGTAGCGTCCTCTTGGCCCACGGCTCTCCTTTTTCAATGGCTCCAAAGGCTCCCAGGGATCGCCTGGGCTTGACACGACGATCGGAAGACTGAGTAGCACCAAAGTATAAAGAACACAAGCAGATTTGCTAGTGGCAATGGTCTGCTACTTACTGGCTTCTTGCTACAAAGTTTTAACAAAAAGCCAACACAAGAAGTTCAAAGCAACGCAAGCAAAAATACAAATAGACACACATCACAAAAGTCTTTAACAATGACGTCGACGAGTTCATGCCCCACACATTGCTGAAATCTGTTAAATCCACAGAAAACGATCAGACTGAATTTTGTTGTGAGTTGCGGCCCTGATGCCCTTCGCTCCTAGTAGCGATGCCCTTTGCTCCTAGTAGCGATGCCCTTTGCTCCTAGTAGTAAGGCCAGGCCTCCTGTAAGCTTGATCTCGGAAGGAATTTGCATTCTGTCCAAATCCGAATCACCTTGGCAGTTCACTCGCTGCAGCGATCGCCCCTCGAACATCAACCTCGCAACCTGCACCCAGTCAGAAATCTGTTCCTTTCCCTTGTTACTAGTAGGGAGGGGGAGGAGCGGGCTTTTGAAAAAAGCCAAGCTTTTTTATTTCTAGCCAGGAGCCCCTAGTACCGATGCCCTTTGCTCCTAGTAGCTTCTTGCTCCTAGTAGTACGGCCAGGAGCCCCTAGTAGCGTCCTTGCTCCTAGTAGTGATGCCCTTCGCTCCTGGTTAGTAGCGTCCTTGTTTCATTCGTTTACCCCCGCGCCGGCATGCGGCCAAAGGTGCTATACATCGACCTCGAAGAGAAAGCGTAGAATTTGTGCAGCGCCTTTGAGTGCTCACCTCAGTGCGTTCGAAACAGGGTCCTGTAAAAACGAACGACGTATGAAAATAGAAAGATGTATTTGCTGGACTTCAACAGGCAACTTTAGGGAAAATGACTGAATGGCAAATCAATGAGTGCACCTGAACACTGAAAAGCTACCCAATTCTTCACTACAAGAAGTGTGAGCCATACTCACCGTGCATAGGACCTTGGAGCTTTAGACTTCTCTTCAACGGGGCAAAAACGGGGCGTCTGGGCCATGAGCTTGCCCTGGCAGCCCCACAAACTGTACGAGGTTTTTGCGATAAAGAAATGCGGACCAGCACTGCACATTGCGACAGCATTTCAGAGACCCAGCTTTGTCGCCAAGTGCTCGCCACTCGAAAGCAACTCTCACAGCGAAGCAAAAAAATGTTTATATATATATATAGACATCTCTCTGGTAGACTCCCACCAATTCAATATCTCGGGCAACAGGTTGCTGTCTGTGGCATTTGACGACGTGCTCTTGGCATAGAAAAGCGTAAAAAAGTTGGCGGCGTGGCGCGAGGATCTGCCAAAGAAGGGGAGGAACTTGGCATCAATGATTCAAAGCAACCGGTGTGGAGGGCGGGTTCCCTGAGCTTTCGGATCTGGCAGCAGGTGCAAAGCCAATATGATCGCAGCCACGAGCAAGATGAGGCCCAACGACGGGTCTAAATCCGAGGGGCCGGCAAGGAATATGGCGAGTGCGGCGGGATTTCTAATTATACAAGGGCTCTAGGAGACCCGAGTAGCAATGCCCTTTGTTACTAGTAGGTTATTGCTCCTAGTAGTAAGGCCAGGAACCCCTAGTAGCGTCCTTGCTCCTAGTAGCGATGCCCTTTGCTGCTAAGGGCTCTAGGTGACTAAGCCAGCGACCAGAAAATGACCAGAACGAGTCCTGAAAACGGCAAAGAAAACATTGAGAAAACGAACGTGTACAGGAAAAAACGAAGAGTGAATTCTGGTTCGTTGTTTGTCTTTTGCGCTCGTTGCATTCAGAGCTAGTGGCAGCTAGACCACGTTCACAGGAGACATGAGTCTGGATCTTCTACTCAGATACCAGGTTGGTTGAGGTTCTACTCTCATCGAAAAATCCTACACCATCGTCCTCTCTCAGCATTTCAAATCGAAGCTCCTCACAGTCAGTAGCAAACATCAAGGGTCCACAGTTTGTCTGGTGTCTCGCGAAAATTGCTGCTGGCTCATGCACATGGGTCAACAAAGTTTAAGGTACTATGTTTGGCCTTATGGTCTTTACACAGAAGCAAAGTGGCAAAGTGGAATCAACAACCCTAATCTCAAAGTACATGGCCTCCAAAACGTACAGTATCTTACCACTGTTGGCGGCTGGAAGAGTCCTCTGGGGTCTCCAATTTTGCTGGTTGGTCAGAGGGTGCAGCTGGCTCCTTCAAGACAGCTATGCACATGGGCCGGCAAGTTTTAAAGCATTACGATGCTACATGTTTGTAAGATGGAATCAGCAACCCCAATCTCAAGGCATGTGCCCAAAAAAACTATCCCGGCAAGAGGCCGTGTGAGGTCTAGAGGTGTAGAAGCAGAAAGTCTGGTCCAGAGAGGTGGTGGTGGTGAAGAAGGTGGAGATCGTGACGTGGCGACGGCGGTGGTGAAAGAGTGAGATGAGATGAGATGAGATGAGGTGAGCGAGGGAGTGAGCGAGGTTCCCCCTGCGCCTGCCACGAAAACTGACAACCGTGTCCGAAAATGTGCACGGCACCACAACGAGAGTCGTGACAAGCACCCTCCGCGCCCCACCAGATTCTGCGAGACTGCACAGTCGAGATGCACTTCGAGGAATTCGAGGGGAATGAATGTACAGTACATAGCGGCGAACTAGCCATCCCGGACCGCGCGACACCTGGATTAGACACCGGCCCTTAACCACTACCGTAAGAACCCCTAGTGTGACCACACTGTTTGGGGAATAACTTGCCACTGCTCGCTGCTGGAAGAGTCCTCCCGGGTCTCCGGCAAAAGTTGGTCAGAGGGTTTAGATGGCTCCTTCAAACACAGAAATGCACATGGGTCAACAAAGTTTAAGGTACTATGTTTGGCCTTATGGTCTTTACACAGAAGCAAAGTGGCAAAGTGGAATCAACAACCCTAATCTCAAGGTACATGGCCTCCAAAAAGTACAGTATCTTACCACTGTTGGCGGCTGGAAGAGTCCTCTGGGGTCTCCAATTTTGCTGGTTGGTCAGAGGGTGCAGCTGGCTCCTTCAAGACAGCTATGCACATGGGTCGGCCGGCCCAGCACAAGAATGAGTACACACAAATCTGAGCCACTTGACTTGCAGCACTGGCATCCTCTGGAGTGATCTGCAGCTGCACTGGCTGCCCCAAAGGTGCAGCTGGCTCCTTCGAAAAGCCATTTGCACTGGCTCCTAACTTCAAGCTGCATGCCTCCTACGTACTTCGAGCGCTAAAGGTATGCAACTGCAAACGTGCCAACAGCAAAAAGTCAAAGCAAACCTCCAAGCAAAAATCGTCTTACTTCGCTGGAGAAGGCCAAAAACACTGAAAGGCAAATGGAGAAAAACTAGTAGCGATGGCCTCCACATACTAAGACCACTAAGTGGTTGCCATTCTCCTCGGCAACGACCGAAGTAGTCGGTTTCTCTGGAGTCTCCTGTGGAGAAACGAAGCAAACTGAGCACAAAGCAAAGCACCCTGGTGTCAAGCATGCAATGCTCTGAGTCTAGAAACGTGACTAAAAACTACACCGCAACAAGACTGAGAGTATCTGAGCATCACTACAGGCTACAGGCCCAAAAACGATGTTTCCTGACGACATTCTTTTGAAAAAGACTCTCTCCACGCGGGCAAAGAACGAGCAGAACGGAAAAGTGTGAAACAGTTGAACCATAATGGGAGGCCATCGCTCGGAGGTTTCAGGCCACCACTCTTAGGGAAGAAAAACATACATTTAAAAAATGAAAAAGATAAAATATTTGTATATATATATAAGTGCATCGCTAGTAGTAACAAGTGCCTTACTACTAGTAACAAGAAGCTTCTAGGAACAAGTGCCTCGCTACTAGTGACAAGAAGCTATTTTTAAAAAAATATAGCGCCCCCATGAATGCCAGCATCCTCGGGCAGTTCGCCCATGAGACGGCTGGACTCTACCTCAGCTTGTCACCCAATTGTTAAAATTTCAGTTACAATTAGGAACAAAAAGTTACTAGGAACAAAGGGCATCGCTACTACGAGCAAGGACGCTTCTAGGGGCTCCTGGCCTTACTAAGCCTTACTACTAGAAACAAGAGCGCTACTAGGAGCATGTTGCTAATAGCAACGGCCTCCAACCCAGGGCCTAACTTGTTTCGTTGAAACATGTTAAAAACATCCTCGTGAGAATAAGTCTTGAACGTAGATCGGCTCAGTTTCCCAATGATAAAATCTTGAATCAAGACCCCCAACCAGGAGGAGGCAAATGGTCTGACTTTTTGCTTGTACTTCTTTAATTATATTTTCTATATTGCTTGCATCATATTGCAGCCACTTGCCAGGGCCAGGCATATTCAAGGCTACTTCCCCTGAGCCTTGGAATGCCTCTTGGGCATCTTTGGACAAAGCCACATGCCAGCAACCCTTGACTACAGAATCATGACCCTCAATATCCTAAGACCTTTGAAAGCTACAGAACTAAGGACCTCAAGCTATTCAAGGTCTCTGCGCCAACAATTTATACAATCAAGACTCCCAAGCTCTGCTTGCATGAAATCCAGGACCCCAAGGTCAGCCACTACTTGACAAAACAAATTTCCAAGGACAGAAACTCCGCATAGAATCAAGACCCTCAAGCTCAAAAGGTGCGCATACAAAGTTGAAGACTCCAGGCAGCTAGCCGTCCAGCTCTGGGTAGCAAATAGCAAATGGGTCTTTACAAAATGAAAGATGTTGAAACCAACAGCATCGCCGGCCACGATTCGAAGCTGAGGCGGCCACAAGTGCGATTGTCAAGGCCTCATGACTCCAACGGACACTTGTTACTAGTAGTAAGGCCCTTGTTCCTAGTGGCGATGCCAGGAGCCCCTAGTAGCTTCTTGTTACTAGTAGTAAGGCCAGGAGCCCCGTTCGTAGCTTCCTTTCTCCTAGTAGCGATGCCCTTTGCTCCGTTCGTAGCGTCCTCGGTTCTTCTTTATCTTGCGTTTTTCTCTCAAAAGGCCTTTTTTCGTCTCTTTACTCGACGTCCCCACTATGCGTACCGGCCCAGCCCAGCTTCCCCACCTCTAATCTCGCAAATCACATGAGTGACGTGACTACCCCACACTGCTTAAGAAACTGAAAAACAATTCATTGCTTTGCCAAGAAAAGGTGCAAAGCATTGCTGTAACAAAGGGCATCGCTACTAGGAGCAAGGATGCTACTAGGGGCTCCTGGCCTTACTACTAGGAGCAAGGTTCGCTACTAGTAACAAGTGCATCGCTTCTAGTAACAAGTGCCTTACTAGTAGTAACAAGAAACTAGGAGCAAAGGGCATCGCTACAAGAAAATAAAAACTAGTAACAAAGGGCCTCCTCCTTGGGGCGCTTGCGCCTTGTGTTTTGAGCTCCCGTGCTTTGCGATCACCCACGGCCATTGCCATTTCCAGCAAGTACTTGCAATGTGCGGCCCTTGGACATGGAAGAGGGCAAAGAAGTCAAGAATAGGATGGAGGCCATTGCTACTAGCAAGGACGCTACTAGGGGCTCCTGGCCTTACTACTAGGAGCAAGAGGATACTACTAGTTGCTAGGAGCAAAGGGCATCGCTACTAGGAGCAAGGACGCTAGGTTGGAGGCCATCGCTGGTAGGTTGAGACGAAGGAAGGTTTGTAGCAAATAGCTTTATCACACTTCAAGTCGAGGCACATCATGTTCTGTATGCTGGCGTCCAAAAGCCTCAGGGCAGTGAAATAGCGCCAACTACAGTACACTACATCAACCTAGAAGCGATGGCATCATAGGTTGGTGTGCTACCGCCTATATATTTTTTATAGGTATGAGGTGTGTCAGGCAGACTTTGCCATTCGAAATGAGAACACCATCTGCCATTGAGCGTCCCAAATTGAGCGCCAGATCCACCGCTGCCCTCGGCCTTGCAAAAAGCCAAGCAAATGACCTCACACGACCTCACACGAGCTTCTTGTTACTAGTAAGAATGCTCCTAGCAGCGGTGCCAGGAGCCCCGAACGTGGCGTCCTTGCTCCTAGTAGTAAGGCCAGGAGCCCCTAGTAGCTTCTTGCACAAGCTGAGACTTGGACAGCAGCACGGAGATCATCAACAGATTGAAAGTCCAAGCATGCAAGCGCCTAAATCTGTGAAGTGGACAGGAGTGTTGTGGGATTTCTTGTTCTCTCCTTTTCTGCGTTTTTCGCTTCTGTTTCTTCCGTTTTTGCCAGAAATCTTCCGTCACGGCCTTGCGCAAGTGGCGGTTGAAAAGGCTTCGAACCTGTGGCGATGGAAAAAAGGCAACGAACCTCGCTTTGGATCAGATTGTTTTCCTTTTGGAATTAGAAACAATAATATACAGTATTAGTAACAAGTGCATCGCTACTAGTAACAAGTGCCTTACTAGTAGTAACAAGAAGCTATTAGTATGCTGGTTTCTTGTTCTTCATTTTTAGTGTTTTCCAGGTGTGTCAGGTGTGTCAAGAACGGCTTCTCGATACTCTTCTCCAAGAACCGCACCTTCGCCAACATGGATTGGGTCACAATGGGATCTTCCTTTAAACTGCCGTAGTCCCAAGCTTCGATAAAAGCGCGAGTGGCTTCCTCAACATACCTACGATCTGAAATCGATTCAAGACGGTTTTCTTCAAAAGAACGCGATGCACTTGTTCCTAGTAGCTTCTTGCTCCTAGTAGCGATGCCCTTTGCTCCTAGTAGCTTCTTGTTACTACTAGTAAGGCACTTGTTACTAGTAGCGATGCACTTGTTACTAGTAGCGAACCTTGCTCCTAGTAGTAAGGCCAGGAGCCCCTAGTAGCATCCTTGCTCCCAGTAGCGATGCCCTTTGTTACTAGTAGGGTTCCTGCTAATTCTTTTTCAACTCCGGATCTTCCTTCTCTCTCTCCTCTCTCTCGAGTTTCTAAAAAGAGACTAACTCGGGCCTGATCTGTGGATCTCTCTCCGCCAAAGCGATGTAGGATCGGAGGACAAAGACGTTCGCTTTGTGCATCAAACCTCCCGGGCGGAGTTTCACCCGTCCACTGTTTCACCTGTCCACTGTTTCCATTTTCCTGGAGGCTCGTGAGGCTTTACTGAATCGAAAAAAGTGTGTTGATATGATTTAAACCGTTTTTGAATCACAAAACTATTTAAAAAACAATCGAAAAAAAAGGTCGATCCTGCCCAATCCTCTTTGGTTCCTTTTCCTTTGGCCCATCGATCCTTCACCGACCTCGACTTCTCGGCCGTTGTGAAAAAGGCGCCAAAAAAACACAAGAACGGCGCCCAATAATTAGCTACTAGGGGCTCCTGGCCTTACTAGGAACAAGGACGCTACTAGTAACAAGTGCATCGCTACTAGTTGGTTGCAGCGGAGACTGTGTTGGTTGCAGCGGAGCTCATGTTTGTCTTCAAATCTCTCCTATCTGCTTTGTGCTGAATTTTCCCACTATCACAAATAGATTAATAGCTTTTTGTTACTACTAGTAAGGCACCTGTTACTACTAGCGGGGCACTTGTTACTAGTAACATCTCTTCACAAATAATTCTGGAACCATCCCTCCTTCCGCTCCAAGAAGCAGTGAGGACTCAGACGGCTCTGATGCAGCTGGCGAATTCGCGGGAACCTTCGGGTTGGCGTGAGGTTCGGCAGCGCCCAACCTGTTGCCAAAGCACACCGACGATACAAAGTCTCCATCCGAAGAACCATGCCTATAAGGTTGGAGGCCATCGCTAGTAGGTTGTGAAGCTATTAGGTGATTGCTTCCTACTGATCTTTGGCAGTGGCACTGAAGATTTGGAAAGCTGTTTTGGCGATCCGTGGGGGTGGGAGGAAGCTACTAGTAACAAGTGCCTCGCTAGTAGTAACAAGTGCCTTACTAGTAGTAACAAAGAAGCTATTACTTACGTTAATTTAATTTCAATTTAATTCTAACAGCAAACATTGTTACTAGTAGTAAGGCACCTGTTACTACTAGCGATGCACCTGTTACTACTGTTTTGGGAAAGCAGCGTCAGTTCGCCAATCTACACATCACGTTCGCCCTTCCCATCTTAACACCAACACCACACACAAAGAAACTATGTTACACCTTTCTTCCTTTTCTATTTTCATCTGTCTTTGTCACTACTTGCGATGGCCTCCAACCTAATAGCGATGGCCACCCACCTGCTTGCGATGGCTTCCAACCCAATAGCGACGGCCTCAAACCGCGCAGAAATTTGTTCACTGCTAGTTTTTTGGAGCTTTCCTGAAGCCATGTGAAGCCTAAGTCCAAAGAAATTAAGCCTTGAGCCCAACCCAAAGAAATCCTAAAGAAGTGAAGCGCCAAGCCACGTCTGAAAACCTAAAAAGGTGAGACCCTGAAACCCAGGAAACCCCCAGCAAGACAAGCCCAGAGAAACGCTAAAGATCAAGCACATGATCGCACACATGTTCATGTCACACCTACGCATCGACTACCCCTACTTTAAAGAGTCTTTTGGAACAATGTCTCTTTAGAGAGGCCATCGCTTCTAGGAACAAGAAACTACTAAGGGCTCCTGGCCATCGCTTCTAGGAGCAAGGTTCGCTACTAGGAGCTCCTGGCCATCACTTCTAGGTTGGAGGCCGGCCCTCGCAGCGATAGTTTCACCTCCTCCCGCCTGCTGGGCTCGAGGCCTTCCTCAAGCCGGAGCGGTGTCTCCTCCTCGGGGTCGATCTCTTCGCTCTCCGCCACCTTGAAAACGGGGCACCACCGAAAACGGTTCATGCGTCACGTGAAAAGAGCGCTCTTGCTAGTGGAAACAGTCGGGAAATCCAATAAAAAACACTCTTGCTTAAAAATTAGTGGAACTGTGTTTATATGTTTTTCGAGGGTTGTTTTCTACCCTGAAGTCAAGAAGTCTGTTTGGCGCGCGAGAATGAAACGAATCGTTGGTCAATACACAACCGTTTTCAAAGTGGTGCGAATTTGTATCGCGGGGACTTCTAGAACTAGTAGCGATGCCCTTGTTACTAGTAGCCTCTAGCTACTAGTAGCGATGCCCTTGTTACTAGTACTAGTGCCCTTGTTACTAGTAGCGATGCCCTAGTTGACATCGAGATCTTAAAGTCTTAAAGTTGAGACTTGAGAACTGTAGCTGCAAGCCTTTCTGTGCTACGGGTGTTCCTACACAGTTCAATTAGCTCAAGATGGGTTTGTCTTCTGACCCTGGCCCTAGCCCTAGCAACACCTTGTTTGGTCAAGCGGCATACAAGCGGCACGTAGCATGGCACAGTGTATAAACAAAGTGTTACATCCAAAAAGTATAAATCTTAACAGTTTATGTTAATATAGCATTACGTATTGGACTACTATATGTAGAAGATAAAATGTAAAGAAGCCATCTTCTCTGCCATACATAGTCCCACCGGTCCCGTCGTCCAGGAGCCACCCCCCACAAACTGCCTCGGCGCATTTCGACCATTGGCCCTCGGAAGCAAAGCCTGCGAAAAAAGGAGGTGAAAAGTCAGCAACTGGGCGTTATCCAATTGCATACCAGGTCTTGAAGCTGCCAGTCCTTGATTGGCTATGCTGGCCCACAATCATGTCCAACCTAATAGCGATGGCCTCCAACCTAACAGCGATGGCCTCCAACCTAATCACAAGTTCCTCCAACCAAAAAGCAATGGCCTCAACCCAATAGCAAAGGCCTCCAACCTAGTAGCGATGAGGCTGGAGGACGCTAGCAGGTTGGCGGCCATTGCTATTAGGTTGGAGGCCGCTAGTAGGTTGGAGGCCATCGAAAGTAGGAGGCCATTGCAAGTAAGTTGAAGCCCATCGCTATTAGGTTGGAGGTCATCCCTGGTAGGCTGGAGGCCATTGCTATTGGGTTGGAGGCCATGGCTCTTAGGTTGGAGGCCATCGCAAGTAGGTTGAAGGCCATCGCTCTTAGGTTGGAGGCCATCGCAAGTAGGTTTCGTGTAAAGAGTTTTAAATAGTTTAACTGACTGATATAGGGAGATCCTCTTAAAGTACAAGTGCTTTGCTAGTAGTAACAAGGGCATCGCTACTAGTAGCTCTCTTACTAGTAACTGAGTATAGTCAGCAGTTGCTTCTAGCAGCTAGTAGTAGCCCTCGTTACTAGTAGCAATGCCCTTGTTACTCCTTGAATAGTCCGTCTCTCTTCCAGAAGGAAGAAGGACGCTTTAGAAAAGACTTTCAATTAGGTTTCAGAATGCCTCTGCTTCTCTACTAGTAACGAGTGCATCGCTACTACTAACAAGGGCATCGCAAGTAGGTTTAGTTTAAAGAGTGTTTTAAAAATGATAGTCAAAAAACTGTCTCGCCTTGAAGAAAGTTCCTCTTCTCGGTTGTCCGTAGGGAAAACGCTCTGAACACGGCCTTTGCAGAAGAAAGAAGAAATAAATGATGTATAACAAAAGTGCGAATCCAAATACATATGCATACAGTATCACATGTATGTATAGATTTGGTATACCGTCCAAAAAGCTTGTTCTTTCTCACTTCACCAGTCAATAGGCGCCATATCTGCCTCCTCGTTCTCTTGGGCGAGCGCTTGCTCCGCCTGTGGCAACAAGAACGCACCAGCCAAACATGGGGCCCATTACACTGACCGAGCCTGTTTGATGCCTTCCACTGCACGGATCCGGAAGTCCTTGACCCTGAGAGAGACCGAAACGAACAGCGAAGCTGAAATTGTGGCCGCCCAGCTGCCAGGAGCCCCTAGTAGCTTCTTGTTACTAGTACAAATGCTCATAGTATCGATGCCAGGAGCCACTAGTAGCGCTCTTGCTCCTAGTAGCTAGGCCAGGAGCCCCTAGTAGCTTCTTGCCTGGATAGGTGCGTGTTGCTCAAGGTGTAGCAATCCTCGGACGGATTGCAAGAACAAACATTGGGACTTGCAATGGCCTCCAACCTTTGTAGCGGGTTCCAAACCCAAACAACAGAAATAACACAAGAAATTCGACCTGTACAATACTTGGTCTCCAGCTTGGGTGTTCTTACAACTGTTGTTCGACATGTTTTGAATGATGGTACTTGGCCGACGGGGTGCGCCGACTCGCCGAAGACCTTGCGCTGCAAACCCTGATTTCTCGGTTTTGGGGCCCACGGCAGAGATTGAATCTCCAATACTATTAGTATCAAGGATGCTACTGGGGGTGCAGAGGCTCCTGGCTAGGTGCAGGGAAGCGATTAGATTGAAGGCCATCGCTAGTAGGTTGGAGGCCATTACTACTAGCTAGAAGCTACTAGAAACAAGGGCTCTTAGGGATTGAGTATTTCGGATGTTGGAGGCCGCTTCTAGGAACAAGGTTCGCTACGATCGGGGCTGGCATTGCGACTCGAACGGAGCTTTCTCGGACGCTACTAGGAACAAGTGCATCGCTTCTAGTAACAAGAAGCTATTAGTTAATTCAGTTTAATTCTAATAGCAAACATTGTTACTACTAGTAAGGCGCTTGTTACTACTAGTAACACAGGCCAAAAGGCCGTGTTGAGGTCTCGAAGGATCGAGATGGAGATGCAAGGGGGCACGGTGCTCATCTGACGCATGAATCAGAACATGTTCGTTGGTAAGATATGTTGTAGAGGGTGGAACTTTAGCCGCAGTAACTTCAACAACCTCAAGGCTATTGCTCACAGAATGCCCAAAAGGCACCTTACCATGATAGGTATTTGGGAGGATTGGTGCTACTTGCTTGCGTGCTGCTTGGTGGCAAGTTGCTCTTTCCAAAGAGCTTTGAAGTGCTCAGTACTCTTACTGTTTGCTTTGATTTTTGCACTTGCATTGAAATATTCTTGTACACCCCCTGCTCTTCAAGAAGCTACTAGGAACAAGAAGCTACTAGGGGCTCCTGGCATCGCTACTAGGAGCAAGTTCTTCAAGAATCCAAGCGTCATGGCACAACTTCTCAATCTCGTGGTTGGGCAGCATCCTCACTCGCTTCTCAAGGCGCACGCACGCAGAGTTCACCTGACGTTGAACGTCGGCGGAAAACCCCTAAGAGCGATGGCCTCGACAAAACGATTGGGTTCAAGACACTAGTAGTAACAAGAAGCTACTAGAAACAAGTGCATCGCTAGTAGTAACAGGTGCCTTACTAGTAGTAACAAGAAGCTACTAGAAACAAGTGTATCGCTAGTAGTAACAGGTGCCTTACTAGTAGTAACAAGAAGCTACTAGTAGTTCAAGACACTGGTCTCAAACGGTGCGTTCGACACTTTTGGGCACTGCGGCCGCCCAAACACGAAGGACGGAGAGGTGGCCATGACGCACTCGACACATTCGGCCCAAACGATGCGTTGAAAAGCAATGACAGCGAAACCAACAGCTTAGCCGCTTAGCCGCTTAGTTCAAACCTGCTTCAGCACCTCCCAAACACCACCCAAACACAAACTAAACGCCAAGTGCAGAACTCCCTATCACATCAATTAGTTCACGCCGATTCGGACACCTCTATCCTTCATCCACCCCAAACCCTTTCTAGACACACCTCATGCCAAGCCACTCAACCTCTGGAACCCCTTCTCTAAACAGCTGCCCGAAGAAAAACATAAAACCAGACCCAAAACGAACCCGAGAAAGGCCGCTGTTACGTTGGAGGCCGTTTGGAACCAAGCTTATGCCAGTTCCCGCTAAGGCTTCGGCACCGAAGTGCTGAAAGTGAAGTTCGTGCAAAAAACCCAGCCTCAACGGCTCACAGTTCGAAGGGTCGAATCGATTGAAATCCAGGCTCAGGGTGAACAAAGTGTCCTTCAGCCTAAGGGTTCAGCATCAGCAAGTTGCTGACAAATCCTTAGGACCGGCTGAAGGAGCCCCGAGTAGCGTCCTTTGCTCCTAGTAGCGATGCCAGGAGCCCCTAGTAGCAGTCGAATAATCCTTAGGACCGGCTGGTTTTTCTAACTTGCAAAACACCGAACGAATGAACTCTGATTTGTCGAGTCATCTTTTGTCCGTTTCATTCGAACACATCGCACACGTCCGATTTTGACGATTGGACAAGAACACAGCGCTCAAGGTGGCAAGACTCGTTCCCCGACTTTTCAACTGCACTTGGAAAAATCAAAGTCCATAAATGAAGCTACTAGGGGCTCCTGGCCGTACTACTAGTAACAAGGTTCGCTATTAGAAACAATAAACAAATACCAATAATGTCAACTCAGTGGCTTTCAACGAAAAGGCCGGAGACCACATGGTGCTGGAAGAACAACGAACGTCTCACCACTGCCTCCATACATGTTCCCCCCAAATTCTGGCAATCTCTGCGTGGGCACATGCAGTCCGCCTGATACACCTGAACCGAACCATCTTTGACAGGTTTCATGTCCTCAGAGTGTGGCATCTGAAAACTTGTAGCGAACATTGCTCCTAGTAGTAAGGCCAGGAGCCCCTAGTAGCGTCCTTGCTCCTAGTAGCGAGGCCAGGAGCCCCTAGTAGCGTCCTTGCTCCTAGTAGCGATTCCAGGAGCCCCTAGTAGCGTCCTTGCTCCTAGTAGCGATGCCAGGAGCCCCTAGTAGCGTCCTTGCTCCTAGTAGCGAGGCCAGGAGCCCCTAGTGGCGTCCTTGCTCCTAGTAGCGAGGCCAGGAGCCCCTAGTAGCGTCCTTGCTCCTAGTAGCG